AACACACTGCCACAGACCAGGTTAGGTTCCTTGTCCTGTCTCTTGATGACATTGGGAACTCTGTCTCTTCATAATTTCCCAAAACTACAGTTCATCCATGGAGCCTCAGGATTCTGTTGCTGTGAAGAGACGGCATGACCATGGAAAACTCTTACAAAGGAAAACATCTAACTGGAGCTGGCTTACAGCTCAGAGGTTTAGTCCATTCTCATGGAGGTGGGGAGCATGGCGGCACGCGGGCAGACATGGTGCTGGAGAAGGAGCTGAGAGTTCTCCATCCAGATATGAAAGTAGCAGGAAAAGAGAGAGACACCAGGCCTGGCTTGGGCTTCTGAAACCCCAAAGCCCACCCCCAGTGACACACTTCCTCCAACAAGGCCACACCTTCCAATAGTGCCACCCCCTATGAGCCTATGGGGACCATTTTCATTCAAGCCACCACAAGATTAAAGGCCTTTTATTTCATGAAATGATAAGCACCCAGGAGTACTGAGTTCCTATCACCTTGTTTCTCCATATCCTCAGTACTTACAGTGAGTCCATGTTAGAGCAAGCTCACCCTAGACAGGTTAAGAACGTAGCCACACAGTGAGAACATGTAAGCATCTGGGTATTACCCTCCAGTCCTGCTGGCTCAATGAAAAACTCCATGCTAGCCAAGACTGAAGTACAGAGACAGTTGGAGAATCTCCTTCTTCAGACGAATGAAGCTTTTGAACGTGCTCTTAATTAAAATTCTTAATGACGTTGGGGTTGCAGCGTTTGAGGGGTGGAAAGGGGAATCAAATCACTCCATGACCCAAAGAGCTGACATCCAAAGTATTCCCAAACCCAAAACTTCATGAGCACCAACCTTCGAGCCTGAGTAGAAAATTCCACACCTGACTTCGCACACTCGGGCAGTGGTCAATGTCCAAGTTCAAGTGTGCTGGAAACAGTACACAAAATTACCTCGACTGTGCCTATAAAGTATACATATAGCATGGATAAACTTCATGTTTGCACCTGGGTCCCACCCCCCCAAGACACCTCATTATATAATGGCAACTGTCCCCCAAAACCAGATTTCCAGAATTTAGTCCCAAGCATTTCCAATGAAGGATGCTGCGCCTGTGTTTGGAGAGCCACCGGGCCCAGCTTCAGCTTTGGAAACCTCAAAAGTGTTTGGGACTGTGTTTGAAGTTCAGTTGATTAAATGAGTTTGGGGGTCATCTCCTCAAAGGAAAAAAAAACTTTTTCTCAAATTAACGCATAAGAACAAAATACATAGTGCCAGCCAGAATTTATTTTGTGTGACCTTCCTAATTCACACCCTCAGGGACAGAGAAGCCATTGACCCAGTTTCTTTATTGTACATGAAAGAAGTCAGATTTTGTGTGCTGCTTCTTCATGATTAATTCACACTTCTCAAGAAACTCTGTGCCCACGACAGGCACCTGACAGGTCTGATTAAATGAATAATGTGTAATCAACAAGCCAGTTGCTCCTTTTCCTGGGTGGATGAGACATACATGGATGTTTTGGTCATCTGAAGGGTGTGGGAATAGAAACAATTAAAACAGTAGACTTGGGGCGTGGCTCAGTGCCACGGTGAACACGTTCCTAATGTTCATGAGGTCCTGGGTTCCGGCCTCAGCATCAAAAACAAATTATCGAAACAAAACAGGTGGTGGTGCACACCTTTAATCCCAGCACTCAGGAGGCAGAGGCAGGTGGATCTCTGTGAGTCTGAGGCCAGCCTGGTCTACAGAGTGAGTTCCAGGACTACACAGAGAAACCCTGTCTCGAAAAACAAACAAACAAACAAACAAAACATGCGACACTTGTTTTTATTGTTGTGTGTGTTCTTGTTCGTGTGTGCTCCTGTGCTTGTGGGTGTGCATGTGTGCGTGCTCCTGTGGAGGCCGGAGGTCAGCATCAGCTGTCTTCCTCAGTCACCCTCCACCACACTTTCTTGAGGCAGGGTCTCTCACTGAACCTGGAGCTCACTGATTCAGCAGGGTCTGGTCAATGAGCTCCCAGGATCCTCCTATCTCCACTTTCCACCGATGGGATTACAGGTGTGCACCCGATACTTGGCTTTTGTTATGGGCCTGGCTGGAGGTGGAAGACAGGTCATCACATTTGTGTAGCATCCACTTTCCCTGCCTAGACAGTGCCCCATCCCCTGCCAGCACTACTTCTTAGCCAATCTGCTGCTCCACCTGTCACGAGTGAGTGGCAGACGCGCAAATCTGAAATTCCTGGGTTTAAAAAAAAAAAAAAGGAATACCGGTCCAGCTGGGCGGTGGTGGCACCTGTCTTTAATCCCAGCACTCAGGAGGCAGAGCTAGGAGGATCTCTGTGAGTTCAGCACCAGCCTGATCTACACTGTGAGTTTCAGGACAGTGTGAACTACGTCATAGAGAAACCCTGGCTCAAAACAAAACAACAAAAATACCCGTCCATACGTTGTCTACGTGGAGAATCTCTCAACACAGCTGACCTAAAAATAGTTCAGGAAAAGACCCCTCAGAAAACCTAGGCCAAGGCGGTAGCTATTGTAGGATCGAGCCCACTTTTAGGCCAGCTCGTATTATGGTTTGGTTATGAAACATCACCCACGGGCTTCTGTTTTGAGCATTTGCTCCTGGTGGGCTTGCTATCTTGAGAAGCTTTGGGGTGAGATGGGGCAGGCTAGCTGGAGGAAGTGGGTCACGGGAAAGGGAAGGGGGGTGCTTGGAAGACGATCCATGGTTCCCAGGCCTCGCCCTTCTCCCTCCTTCCTGCCCACCATGAACTGTAGAAACTTCCCTGCCCTAGGCTTCCACCACCGCAACATTCTGCTCCAGCCAATGGAGCCAGACAAGCATGGACAGAACCTTCCAGAACCCTGAATGGAAATCAACCCCTTCCTCCCGTAATTATTTCTGTCAGACAACCAGGCAGGACTCCTGAAAGTCCTTGGTTCTAATGCCCAAGTGAATTCAATTTTAAACACATCACATCCCAAGGTTCGAATCCCATGAACAATGTATTCTACTCCACCCTGTTCGGGGGCCAGCGGGTCTGAAATACCTCTGAGGGTCAGCGAGACAGAACTGCTGGCAGGCAAAAGTTAGCTGCAAGCCTCCTTGCTCCTTCTGCCCAATAGCCACCCCCTCCATTCAGTCAGTAGAAAACAGAGAAACGAACAAAAAAACAGGTGTCCGGTCTCGTGTACTCTTTTAAGCACATGGTATTTATTAGGCATTAATGGGCACACAAATGTAAGAAACGAATACTTGATTCTCACCCACCCCTCCCCCTTAGAGACACAAAAAGACAAAAATCGCATAGAACACTCACGTGGGAACACACTCACTCGCTCACAGATTTCCACATTCTCAGCCATACAGATTACCCTGTTCTGTTTATTAGGGTCAGTTTTAAAAGAAAGAAAGAAAGAAAGAAAGAAAAAGAAAGAAAGAAAGAAAGAAAGAAAGAAAGAAAGAAAGAAAGAAAGAAAGAAAGAAAGAAAGAAAGAAAAGAGACACAAAACCTTTTTGTAAAAAAAAAAAAAAAAAACCAAGAAAGGAAAACACATTCAAAAGCAAGAGAGAGAGAGGGGAAAAAAAAAAAACACAAACGCAGTTTTGAGTACCAATAAAATTAAAAGGTCTTGGTCAGCCCCCAGGCTGGGTTTCATGTTACTACTTAATTAGAATTCCTATTTATAAATAAATAGTACCAGTAAAATATTACATCTGAGAAACCCTACAATAATGTAGTACTTACACACTTTTTGTTTTGTTTTGTTTTAATACTGTTTTTCTGCTTTTGATGCGGGTGGTTTTGTGTCCCAGGTGATTGTCGCTGGGGCGGTTTCACGCAGGCGGAGGCACCGGTAATATGGCTTCCTCTCCTTCAGCACCTGGAACTGTTTGACTGTGCATCCCATTGGGGTCACAGAGGAGGTTTGAGCCAGCCCGGGGCTGACTTCCTGGTTGTCCTCTTCTTGGCTTTGCTTTGTAATCATGAAGTATATTTATTCTCGCTTTTTTTTTTTTTTTCCTTCTCCCCTACGACTTGGGAGCGGGGAGCTTGTCCCCCTGCTCGGAATCACAGTTCTGTGCCCCTTGTGTCACCCGGGGCTCTTTCAGTTTGTCCAAGCAAGATTTCCAGCTGAGAAGTGATAGGCCCCCCCGTTCTAGCCATAGATGGCTGGGGAGAGCTGGAGCCGAGGAGAAAGGGCACTGAGAAGGCAGATGGCAGATGGAGTCCGACATCCCTAACTCCATCCACTCAGTAGAAGGCAGCTTTGAATGCCATGAAGCTGGGGAAGGCAGGTCAAAACCGAAAGGGAAAAAGCACAACCCAATCCAAAAACTAGCAGGTACCTCTGGGACCTTCGTAGACATCTCACGTGACGGAGGTAGGTATTTTTGTTAGAGGAGGGTGTCGGATGTACATTTTAGCTCGTTTATTGGAGGGAAGCCCCAAAAGTACTTGTTTTGAGACATATTTGTCTCTGCTCTCCCTCCATTAAGGGACTGGGTCCCAGTAAGAAAATTCAAAGAAAAAAAATATATTATTATTTATTATATAACAAAGTCAACATTAACACCAAGACACAAGAATGTCTCTCACCGTGCGCCGGGGTCAAACACTCAATGAGGCAGTATGTTCTTAGAACCCAAAAGAAACAATCAGGGAACATGTCTGGGGTGCTGTGAGTGCATCTGGTTGAGGACAGTGGAGGTTGTGCAGGGTGGGACTCATCTCTTTTTCTGTTTTGTAGGTTTTGAAACCAGACGACAGAGTCACAGTTTCAGAAGGGTGATCTCACTGATCAGATCAGTGGCTGTGGGAGCCTCAGGGACAGAGGTGATGACAGGTGACTTGAGTTTCTCATCTGTAGGGGTCCTCATTGCTACTGTCCCTCATCTGTCTCTCTCCTCTCTCCTCTCCTCTCCTCTTCTCTCTCTCTCTCTCTCTCTCTCTCTCTCTCTCTCTCTCTCTCTCTGGCAAAGCTCTGCCTTTTAGCTATTCTCACTCCACTCTGGCACCATGCCAACGCCGTGTACTGAGTGATACTGGTGTGGGGACAGGGTCCTGGGCACGCCGTGAGAGTAGAGGAACTCGGGGGGCTGGAGGCCACCTGGAGACTGAAGGCCAGTCTGAGGCCCGCATTGCCTGACCACAGGCTGATGGGCCACCGAGGTCTGGTGCTGAAACATCCCCTCGCCGCCGAGCTGAGGAGACCCATGGTTGGCCATGCCGGCTAGCCGAGGGACCAGGGGCCCCGAAGTAAAGTGAGCCGAGAAGTGCTGGTAGGGTAGGCGGTCCATGGGCTGCACTGTGGTGACCGTGCAACTGCTGTAGGAGGGCATGCTGGGCCATGTGTTACAGCTGATGTCCTCCAGGCTGGGCACGGGCTCGCTGGGGGGTGCGGAGCTGGCATACATGCAGGCCTGCCGCTGGGCCGACTCTGTCCTGTAAGAGGCACTCAGGCCCTGCTGCTGGGGGTAGCCTGGGCGGTAGAAGGCCTCCTCCTCGCTGGGGGATGTCTCCATGTATGGCTTCTTGTAGGGGTGCTCAGTGCTGGAGCACTCTTCATCTGCAAAGACAGGAAAGGTATTAGTCACCCCACACCGCAGCCGGGGCCAGAGACAGCCACTGGGACCGAGACTAGAGGCTGTCAGCTCCGACCTCCATTCTGACTGGGAAAAAAAAAAAAAAAAAAACGTGGAGCATCATGACCACAGGTTAGGACTATGACTTTTAAGCCAAAATCTGACATTGAACTAACTCAATTTCTCCAGCTGCAAAATGTAGTGAGGTCCTCCGTAGTGCTTCCTACAGGGAGGAACATTGAGAATTAAATGGGAAAATATGTGTCCACTCAGCAATTAATTCAGAGGCTGGCACAAAGAAAAGTGCCACAAAACACATTATCAGCAGCAGCAGCATCACCATCATCATGTGACATCATCATCACCACCATCATCACCATCACCATCATCATCATCATCACTGTCATCATTGTTACCATCATCACCACCATCATTACCATTATCACCATCATCACCAGTCTTTTTATCAATGACAATGATTAACAGTAGTGCCATTGTTTCACCCCCTCTTGTACATTATCTCATCCATCCTCTATCATCCCAAACCTGGCATATATGTAGCAATAATAAAAATAACAGTGGTACCAGCAACAACAACAAAAAACAAACACACACACAGTGCTGATGATGCCTGGCTGTGTTCTAAGCACTTCCCACAAGGTGACCCACTCAGTCCTCATAGTAATCTTTTGAAGTGGGTTAGTCCTGCTTTATACATGAGAGAGAAGGAACTCAGAGGTTAAGAGGCTTGCCCAAGGCCTTCGACGGTGGCTGATAATGGTGGATCTGTGACTAGTGATCCATCCGGCTGTCTCACTACAAAGTATCTGCCATCAATGTCACGGTACATGAAGGAAACCATAAATATCCCATGCAATGGATAGGTGGATGGACGGTGGATTGATAGGTGGGTCAATGGGTAGATGGATGGTAGACAGATGGATGGGTAGATTGATGATAGACGGGTAGCTGGATAGTGTCTGGGTAATGAATGGATGGATGGATGAGAGATGGATGGATGGATGAATGGTGGCTGACCGGATGAATGATGGATGGATAGGTGGCGGGATAATGGATCGATAGGTGGATGGGTGGGTGGCTGGATGTAATTTGGAACAAATCTCCTTTACTAGCTGCTGAGTCAGTTCCAATCCCTGTGTCTCTGTGTCTTGTGAATCGGATCATGTCCCTCCTCTGTGCACTAGTTAGTCTCGGTGATGGAGATAACTCATCTTCAGAAGAGTCTCCATTCGGCACTTTGGGACTGTTGGCCCTCTTGGCAGCTAACCAGTATACACTGGGGTGGGTCATTTCCTAGAAGAATTCCCAGAAATAGCATGTTTTGAAATTTTCAGCCACACGGTTTTCTACAACTTTCAGGGGGGCCAAAAACTTCCTAACACCCAGTCCTCGGGCTAAGAACCCCAGAGACTTTGGGGCAGGAATCGTCTGACTCTTCTGTTAGTGCGTTGCCAGGGGCTGGGGCTGGGGGTGGGGAGTCTGCCCTCCAAACACCATCTCACCACTTCTGAGGCAGGTTAGTGATTCGGACCTCACTGGATGACAAAATTAAATTGAAGAGAGAATGGGGGAGTGGATTTGGTCAAAACATATCACATGTATGCATTCCAAAACTCTCAACATAAAAAAAGGAAGAAGGAGGAGGAGGAGGAGGAGGAGAAGGAAGAGGAGGAGGAGGAGGAGGAGGAGGAGGAGGAGGAGGAGGAGGAGAAGAAGAAGAAGAAGAAGAAGAAGAAGAAGAAGAAGAAGGAAGAAAGGAAAGAAAGGAAGGAGGGAAGGAAGGAAGGAAAGAGAGACAGAAAGAAAGAAAGAAAGAAGAAAGAAAGAAAGAAAGAAAGAAAGAAAGAAAGAAAGAAAGAAAAGAAAGGAAGGAAGGAAGGAAGGAAGGAAGGAAGGAAGAAAGAAAGAAAGAAAGAAAGAAAGAAAGAAAGAAAGAAAGAAAGAAAGAAAGAAAGAAAGAAAGAAAGAAAAGAAGGAAGGAAGGAAGAAAGAAAGATGTCCAAAGTCCCTTCATAACCTAAAGAATATCTCTCATAGCAGGGACAACATGGCACATCATTCTCATGGAAGACCTGGTCTCTAACTATGCCAGATGCTTCCTTCAAGGTGGCCAAACCTGGAGGTGTCTGCCAAGCCGTCATCTCAAACACACCCATTCCTCGGGGGGGAATTTAATGCTCCCAATTGGAGATGATTGTTTCTCATCTTCTAATCTCTTTTTTTTTTTTTTTTTTTTGGTTTTTCGAGACAGGGTTTCTCTGTGTAGCTTTGCGCCTTTCCTGGAACTCACTTGGTAGTCCAGGCTGGCCTCGAACTCACAGAGATCCGCCTGGCTCTGCCTCCCGAGTGCTGGGATTAAAGGCGTGCGCCACCACCGCCCGGCCTAATCTCTTTTTAATCAACATATACCGACAAATTACATATGGAGCTGGGGATGCAGCCCAATGACTGAGCTCTTGCTCCAGATTTGATCTTGTGTGTGTGTGTGTGTGTGTGTGTGTGTGTGTGTGTGTGTGTGTGTGTGTGTAAGAAATGAAGAGGGAAGGGAAAGAAAGGTGAGGAGTCAAAGGGTCTTTGTCAAGAAAGGAAGCTCTGTCAGCCCCTTCTGGGAGCCAGAACCATGGTGGTTAACCTGTGCAGCGGGGCTGAGATTAGTTTATCTGAACAGTTGTTTGATTCTGTGTTTTGATACAAGGCCTCACTCTGTAGCCCAGGCTGGCTTAGAACTTGCCATCCTCCTGCCTCAGCCTCCTGAGTGCTTGTCCTCTCTGGGTTTCTCACTTTGTACATGGGGACAGGTGTCCCAGAGCACTGGATGCCTGGTCAGCACCCAGCAGGCTGCGGCTACCCCTGAATAAGTGGCATGGAGTCACTGTGGATACCGAGTCCCTGGAAGATGTGAAGAGACAGTTGCTGTGAGTCACCCAGAGGGGACAGGGTGGCCTTTCAGGCCGTGTTCTTCAGGGTCAGACACCAGGGGTGCAGCCCACCTTTGGGAGTTGGAAGTGTTTGTGGGAATATGGGCTAACTTAACCTCTGTCTCCTCTCTCTGACTCAAGGGAGACTGTACTTCAGGCTCCTGGTGGGATGTGTCTTTGGGGACTTGGCATGAAGGTATAGGCTCATGCATATGTTGTGTGCTTGTCTGGGGTGGGCTCAGTCAGGGGCAATTGTTTGGACTGTTGCCTCTCACTCCACAGAGCCTGCTCAGCACCAGCAGAAGTCTAGTGACCTGTTTCTGGACCTCGAGTTAAGCCACTGGTCCCCAGGCGCTCCTGTCACAGCTGCTATACTAGAATTCTCAGGAGCTAGGCTTCCCAAAGGAAGGAAACATGTTCTGACTGACTAGCCCAGGCTGCCCCATCCTTGTGTTTGGAAAGGAGAGACGTGCTGGCATTGGTCCTTGCCTGGGGAGGATGCCTGACTTCCAGATGGACCCAAACCCTCAAACTCCTTGGATTTCTAAGGCCTGAACAATGTCACCCCAACAGCCCCCAGCCTGACTCCCCCACACATCCACTGCCGGGTGGGCTGGATACCAGATGCGGCAAGCGTGCCTGTTCCCACAGCTCTCAGAGAGGGAAAGAGTATCCAAGGAGGGGTTCCTGTTCAAACATCTCCTGCCTGGTGTGATGGCTAAAAGGGTCCTCTCTTGTCTTGGTCTCTGAGTAAGTCTTCTCCCAACGTAGGTACAGGAAACTCTCCTTACAGGTGGTAAACTGAGGCACAGGAAAGGGATGGTGGGGGTTTTTTTTCTTCTAAGACAGGGTCTTACCATATATCTCAGGCCGGCCTCAAACTTTCTATAGAGTTCAAGCTGGTCTGAATCTCACTGTGTATCCCAGGCTGGCCTCAGACTCATGGCATAGCCCAGGTTGGCTCTGAACTCTCAGTTGTCTGCCTCAGCTCCTCAAGTAGTGAGATTGCAGGTAAACCCCACTGCACCTGGCTAGCCAGTGGCGCATGAGGGTGGAACTGGAAGCTGATCCCGGTTTGCACCCTCAATACACTGTATCTCTTAGTGCCACACTCTCTGGTTGGCGTTGCCGTCAAACCACACTCTCAAAATGCCATCTCCTGAGGGAGACTGAAGTGGAGACTTGGTCATACATGGCGATAAAGAGCTCAGCAGGTTTGCATTAGGGAGCTCTGCTGATTAAATTAATGCCAGACCTAAAGAAAAGAGAGGGTAGGAAGGAGTTTGAAGCGAATCAAAGCCCGTTTAGGGTCAATAGTCCCCGCAGAGCCCTTAGCCACGCCTTCTTCTGCGCGGATGTGGTGGGAAGGCCACAAAAGCCAGAGCCAACCTCTTGGATTGGTTAGATGTACTTAGAACCAACGCAGCAGGGCTGAAGTAGGGGGCCGCCTGATGCAGGGAGGGTTGTAACCACTGTCGGTTTGCTGCTGGGTCACCGTGGGCAAATCGCTTCACCTCTCTGGGCTTTGAGTAGCTCTAATACAGGTTGTGGATAACAGCGGCAAGTCCAACCAGTTAGGTGGATGAGGGGATGGATGAGATGAGAGAATGCATGGGAAGTGCCTGATCTGCTACTGGGACAGCTGAGTACCTGAAGTGACCGCCCAGGCTGTCCTCCATGACCTCCATGTACAAGGGTACCCACGCGTACCTGCAAACATGAACACCACATACATACACAGCTGCAGATTGCTAATGGATGTGAGGTTGGGAGAACAGACTGGGTGTGGGACCAGGGAAAGTGGGGGGAGGGGGGCAGCTAGGAGAAGGGGAGGGGAGGGGCCGGGTGTCCACCCTTTCTGGAGAAGGTTAGGATATGGGTGCCCAAAGCAAAGGGCAAAGAGCAGAGAAAGAAGTCTGGAGAGAAAGGCAGGGCCAGCTGGATGCCTCCTCAGCCATTTCCATTACTGACCCAAACGTTATCTGAACACCAACGGGAGGCCATCAGGGGGTCAGCAGCCTGCAAGTGTCACTGGCTAGATGTTG